TTGCATAGGGTTGCTGGGAGTTGGAGGCAACTTGATGGCACATAACAACATATTCTGGAGGCCCCATAGTTAGAACAACTCATGGCAACCCAGTGCACAGAACAAGATGCTGCCAGGTCTTCCTGAGCTATCTTCATGATTCGATGCTGTTAACACTTGTAGGGTTTTAAGTGGTTGAATTTTGAAAATAGATTGCTAGACCATTTCTAGACTTTAGTCTGGAAGTTCTGCTGAAACCTTATCAGCGTCATGGGAGCGAGCAGATGGCTGGCTGGTGGCTTTGTCTGGGGCTCGTGGTCTCCTGGCATAGTTGAGAATTCTACTACTGAGCTACCACTGTTCTCGGACCCCATATTCTGTCTCTCATCGCCACTGAATCTGTACTGACTCATAGTTAACCCTCTAGGGAGTTTTCAGAGGCTGTAAATCGGCAAAAAGGAGACTGTCCATCTTTCTTTCTGGGAGCAGCTGGTGGATTTAAGCCACCTGTTTTGGATTGGCAGTGCAGCTCCTTACTCACTAGATCATCTGCACTTCCTGTGGACCCCACTTTAAGAACTACTAATGGGGACCTGTGGTGTTTTATTAACACCCTTGGTACCAGCAGTCAGGAAATGAGACATATCGCACTGAGAAAATCTGCAGTTAGGGACCTCCTCAAAGTATTGAGGAATAGTAATGTCAGTTTGAGGACTAAGGTGCATCTGATTCAGGCCATAGTCTTTCTAGTCACTTGCTATGCATCTGAGAGGTGGACAGTGAATAAGGATGACAGGAAAAGAATTGATGCCTTTGAGCTGTGGTGTTGGAGAAGAGCACTGAACATCCATCCCATGGATGGCCAAGGGAACAGGTATGTCTTGGAGAGGGTGAAGCCAGAGTGCTCTTTGGAAGCAAGATGATGAGGCTTCACCTCACATACTTTGGGCATGTTGCTAGAAGGGGCTATTTCTTGGAGAAAGATATGATGCTGGGAAGGGTGGACAGTCAGTGAAGAAGACCCTCGACCAGGTGGATTGACACAGTGATTGCTTCTTGTATGTCAGGAAGTGTGAGGATGGCGCAGGATAAAACAGGGTTCAGATCTTTTGCTCATAGGGTCACTATGAGTTTGACTTGACAGCATCTAACAAAAACAGTGGAGAGCTCTGGTGGTAAGAAGCTGCACTGCAATCCTAAAGGCACATGGTTTGAATCCGCCATCTTTCTACTGGAGAATGATGGATAGTCCCCTACTGTGCGATTTACTGCCTCTGACAACATGCTGGAGGGTCAGCTTTAGGTTAGATCCGACTTGACAGCACACAACAATACTGTATTAAATGTTAGTTCTGAGATTGGGCCCCTTATTTTGCAGCTTCTCTTCCTCAGGGATGAATTCCGTTTTTAGCCACCTTAGGGGAAGCTGGGCATTTCAGGGTAGGGAGCCCTTAGGGAGTGGGGCGGTTTCCCATCCATGCTGTGGGCCTCAGCAGACCCCGCTGTACGTTGTGCACAGATGTCCTGTCACCCGGAGCTGAACCAGTACATCCAAGACACACTGCACTGCGTCAAGCCACTCTTGGAGAAGGTGAGGGCACCATACCCCTCTAGCCCGTCAGCACCAATCTGCTCCGCATACCCACAGGCTGACTCCAAGCTGGGGTGATACCAGGCCACTCACTCAAGGACAGGCCTTTGGGCATGTAGACTACATCCAGGATGATGGATGTGAGCCCAAGATCTTGAGACATGGCTCTCAAGGCAGTAACTATCCAGTAGAATCTGGTGTGCGTTCTTCTCATCTTTATCTTTCTTCTTAACTTCCTCAAGTTTTGGCTGAATTTAGACTCCTTTCTCTTGTCCTGGTCCCTGAGACTTTTTAAGACCCCCACAAGACTTGGATACCCTCTTAGTCCGTATCACTGAGAGCTGAGGTGCCACCTTGAACTTCTCAAACTTACCTTCTGAGCCATCAGCATCCCTCAGCCTAGAGGCCGGAGGGGCCTGAGAGTGTGCTGGTCTCATCTTCCCTTAGGATGGGTGGAGCCAGGGTAGAGTGCAGGCGCTGGAGTGAATGATTCCTATTCTTGCAGAACGACGTGGAGAAAGTGGTGGTGGTGATTTTGGACAAAGAGCACCGCCCAGTGGAGAAATTTGTCTTTGAAATCACCCAGCCTCCCTTGCTGTCCATCAGGTAGGCTACCTCTCTGTCTCCTGCCTCTGCTAGTTAGTGTGAAGTCCCTAGGAGTACCCACCTCCCCAGGCCCCCGGTACCTGCAGGGAAGTTCCTGACTCCCTTGAAGACTGGGGAGAAGACATGGCAAGATGTGCCTACCTAATGAGGCTTTAGCCTGAAAGAGACAGACACCCCTTTTGACTGCATCAGGCTGCTCCTGGTGGGAGGGCACCAGGGCCCTCGGGTCTGATGGCCTCTGTGAACAGTACATGAGCGTGATATAGACCTTCCTTGTTCACACCTTGGAAAATCACAGAACTGGTCTCATTGAATAGATGGAAAAACCAAGGTCCAGAGATGACATGAGCTGTCCAGGGTCACCCAAGTCAGTGGCAGAGCCAGGATACAGATCCATAAAGACAACTAAGGGTTGACTTTGGGCAGGTTGGGGTGAGATCAGGGCCCTGAGATAGGGTACCACCTTGCCCTCTCTTGATGTGTGACCTTGTGTCAGCCCTTTCCCTTCCTAGCTGGTGGTGTCAGGGTGAAGAGGTTGCTATTTTATCTTGGTTCTCGGGCTTGGGTCCACCTCTTCACCCCCCTTCTTGCCACTGAATTGACTGGGCCTCCTGGCAATCAGTGTGTGTCAGACTAGACCCATACTTTGTGGGGTTTTCAGTGGCTGATATTTCAGAAGTAAATTGTCAGGCCTTTCTTCCAAGGAACCTCAGTGGACTTGAACCTTCACCCTTTCAGTTAGCCATTAAGCCCATTAACTGGTTTGTATAACCCCGAGATTGTGTTAAAACCCCCAAGTAATTCTCGCCTAGATTCCAACTACATTTTTCTGAAGTAGGCCTGGGCACTGGTTTTCTATTTCCCAGGTGATTCTTACTGCAGACTCTTTAAGTAGCCAGGCCCTTAGAAGCCAACATGTGAACCATTAAAGGAACTCTGGCCCCAGACTTACTTGCAGGGTTACTTGCTTCGGGTCAGTGGGAGGAGCCGAGCTGGTCAGCAGGGCTTCAGTAAGACCTTCTTCTCTTTCCTAGCTCAGACTCCCTGCTGTCTCATGTGGAGCAGCTGCTCAGAGCTTTTATCCTGAAGATTAGTGTGTGTGATGCTGTCCTGGACCACAACCCACCAGGTGTGCCTGCCCCCTTACCCATCTTCTCCTTCACTAGTTCCCTGGGATTGGCCTGAATTCCCAACTTCCTGGGTAGGTGCACTGAGCCTTATTTCCCTTCCTGTCCTCAGAACCCCTCTGAAAGCCCACTTCCTCCAGGAAGCTTCCCTGATTAACTTCACCTAGTTTGGAACCCCTCTGTGTATTTACATAGCATTTAGTCTGCACTGTGTCCTGTGGGCCTGGACCCCAAGTCTGGACCAACTGGGGAGGTAGAAAGGTGCTATGCCCAGTGTCTGGCATGGGGCAGCTTGGCCTTGACTGACTTTTTACCCCTCTAGGCTGTACCTTCACAGTCCTGGTACATACAAGAGAAGCAGCCACTCGCAACATGGAGAAGATCCAGGTCATCAAGGTGAGATGAGACTGGTAGGTGGGGTGCAGCTAGAGCCTCTGAAAACCTAACGTCACCGTCCTGGCTGGCAGGGGTATTATGATTATGACTGGCTCTCTGTGTTAACTATGTGGCCACATGCTCGTCACCACCCCCTCTCTGAGCTGAGAGGGGTATGCTGCCTGCTGGGGACCTTCCTACCTGCATCCTCCTGAAGCAGGGCTTCTCAAGGAGGGGGACCATGCCCACCAGTGTCAGAACTGGTCCTCAAGGCTTAGTAAGTCACCAAGTGGCAGGCGGACCTTCCAGCTGGCGCAGCCACTCTGCATCGCCAGCAGCTCCCTCGTGATTTGGTTGCTCCCCAGGGCCTCTCACCTCAGTCCTCCTCCCTAGGATTTCCCATGGATCCTGGCAGATGAACAGGACGTCCACATGCACGACCCTCGGCTGATACCCCTGAAAACCATGACCTCGGACATTCTAAAGGTGCATTTCGGGAGGCTGGCTTGGGGGCCTGAGTCATTTATACTTGAGTGCTTGGGAGGTGTGGCCTGTGGATCAAAGCTTGGGGGAAGAGGACTCTTTGGCTGTGGTTCTTGCCACCCTGTCGTTGGCTGACACCTGTCTGCCAGGGGCTTGGGGTCCTCCCAAATAGGCACCCTAGCTGTCACTCTAACCACAGCGGTTTCCTTCTCTCCATCAGATGCAGCTCTATGTGGAAGAGCGAGCTCATAAAAGCAGCTGAGGGTACGCCTGCTCCTGCTGATGCCTGTTGGACTTGAGGGGGGCTCCAGCCTAGGGTGGCACTGCAGGCTCTCCAGTTCCAAGTGCTCTTACTGCTGCTGTGTGTTGACTGCCACCCTCAAGCCCATGGCGGCAAAGGTCTGCTCACCTTCATGGACTCTGGGACAGCAGTGAAGGGTGTTGGGGTCATGCTCAGCTTCCTGGGGCTCAGCTGGTCAACACTGTCTGTCTCTAACACGTGTGAGCTGCTAAAATAAGGAGCGCCAAGGGCTGAGCTAGGCTTGTCACTAACCAGGTGGGAGGGACAAGTACAAACAAACTAACCTGTGGGGGGACCCTGTGCCCCACCCCTAAATCCAACCCCACTCCGGTTTTACTGTATACATTTATTGTAATAAAATAGTGAGGCTACATGACAGTTAAATAACCCAAGGTCGGAACTGGGCAGGGATCCCTGGGACAAGAGCCTTTACCACCCACTACAGGTGCAACACTTGCCTAGAGAGAACTTCCACCTGGTTCAGACAGGACGGACGGATGGTTGGCCAGTCAGATGACCAGGGAGAACAAGTGGGCAGCTATCTCCCACCCGCCTCATCTTCAGGCTGAGTTGTTGTCGGTGAGCCCGAGTCTGGGCTCATCATCTTATGGCTGACGACGATGCTGCTGTTAGTGACACGGGGCCCATACCAGCCTGCCCAGAACTGGGTGTCGTGGCCCCCATGCTGGAAGAGGATGTGGCGGACGCCTGGAGGGTAGTTTGAAAAGGTGTAGGAGACCTGGGGGAGAGGGAGGCAGTGACCACTGGACCTGGGGAGGGAGGTGCCAGGTTGCATGGTGGGGGGGAAGGGCAAGCAGGGTAGGTGGGTGGGCAAGGCCTCACCTCTGTCCACTTGGCATCATTCCACTGGTGGATGACCACAGGTGGTGGCTCAAAGGAGGCCAAGACAATGTAGTCGGCTGAGGTCAGATGCACTCGAAGGTGATAGGAACAGCCACAGTCAGCTCTGGCTGCGAACCTGTAGGAGGGAGGGGATGAGGGCAACCTCAGATGCAGGCTCAGAGTTGTCTCCTTGAACTTGGCTGGGGCCTCTCTTCTTCCAGGGCTGCTATGCCCCTGAGGCCTAGTCTGTTCTGGGGCTCCCTCTGCTCCATTGTGCCTGGGGGTGATCTACCCACACTGGGCCTCAGTCACCCCATCTGAGAAAAGGGGTAACTCTACTACATATTCTAGTAAAGATGTCATCCCAACGATTAAAAGGTCTGCTATAGAGACAAAGTCCCACCCAACCCATCTGAATTAGGTCAGATGCACACTGGATTGGAGTCAGACTGTGGACTAATAGACAATCCAGAGGGTTGGCCTGTGTGATGGGAGTGGGCACAGAGCTGTGTCTGCTCAGCTCTGCCCTCCCTGTAGCTCTGAACAGCTCTCAGACTGTTGACCTCTATTATTTGACCAGTGGCCTTGGGTTGTGGCTGGAACTGGGGTCAGGAATGCCTGTGAGATGTCAGAGCGCTGGATCTCAGGTGTCTCTTGTCCAGGGCCCATTAGTGACAGCTCATCTGCTGGCCTCAGCCTCCCCAGCTGCGTATGTGGCTAATGAGTGTAGTGGGGAGGGTGAGGGGCTGCGGGAAGGGCAAGTTCTAGATCTGCCAGCAGAGGAGGTCAGGGCTGGGTCTACCTGGCTCCCGGAGCAGCCCTATGCCCAGGACACAGCCAGGCATAGAATAGGTGGGAGAATGTGACAGGAAGGGTACTGAAATGGTGACAAAAAATGGGTCCAACTCACCAGTCTTTAACTACAATGTCAGGTCGGAATGTGTCCAGCAGCTCTTCCCAGTAGCCCTCAGCCTTGAGGTCCACCAGCTGGGACTTGAGGCACATGCTGGAGACAGAAGGGAAGGCTTGCAGCTGTGCACCACATGGCCCTGCCCAGGCCCTGGCAGCCCCCACAGGCCTAGGCGGTGGTCTGTGGGCTAGCCCTGGCATGGCCACCCTCGGCCCTGGCAGTCCTGTCCACACCCAGCGGTGTCCCCTGACCACTGTGGGACAAGCACTGGAGGTGCTGACGCCTCCTACCCCAGCACAGGCCTGTGAAAGATACATGCAGGAAGTCTGACCCACTTGTGCATGGGTGCCATTTGATCTCAACCAGTATCAGTTTAGTGCATTTGGCCAAGCATGCCAAAGAGACTTCAGGGTGCCCTCCATGAGCTCATGTTCCAGATGAGGGGTAACCTGTCTGTGGATTGATTTACCCCTAATTTTGCCCATTAGGATCCTGGCCTCCTGAGTGTAATCTAAGTCCCCACTCCCTGTTGGCTCTGTGTTTGAGTTTACTCTTGCCTCATTCAGGAAGCAGTCAATCACTTTGACCTGACGTTTGGCAAAAGGGGTCTTGACCCTCTTCCTCATAAATTGCTAGAGTCCCACAAGTCAGCTTGGTTCAGTCTGTCTTACTTGTAAGATGTGACAAAGTACTTCTTAACTTTGGGGTCGGGCAGATCTGTCCCAAGATCTCCAGGTAGGCTTTCTACCTTCCACTCGTCACCTCCATTGGAGTCAATCCGCCAGAATCTCAAATCCTCTAGGAAAAAAGAAGCTGAGTGAGATCCCCATGTCAGCTTACAAATTGGACCTTCCCATCAGACCCTAGAGGGGAGCCAGGGCCATTGGTGTTCCTCCTGAAAGGCAGGGCTTACTCAAACACCACGAACTCTGGGACTGAGGGTACCAAGGAATTAACCATTTTGCTTCTCAAAGGCTCTCTGCCGCCCAGGTTGGAGCACCCCTACAAAGCGCCCCTCCTCCACTCATTCTCACCAATCCCCATAACATCCTCTCTGATGTGGGACCTTTCCCCTCCTACTTGATCCCCATCTGGAGTAACATGAAGCAGGAGGAAAAATAATTTTTTCCAGTAATTCTTCAGTGAGCCTTTCCTCCCTCCCATGAAAGAGAAAGCGTTGTGGGAAATACCCACTTCTCAGTTCTCAGTTAAACTGCATCAGGACTTGCGAGGAGCCCATTCTGTTCTTAGTGTTAAGTTCTGTTGCTAATGAGAGAGCTGCCATGTTGCAGGAAGGGCCAAGCCCTTGGTTAACTGAGATCCTGAGCTCTTGAGAGACCTGCCTGACTCGGCTGAAGGTGCTGGGAGCCTACTCTGTTGCTAGGACTTACCTCTGCCCAGGACGAGTGATAACAGAATAGGCAGCCTATGGACTGGAGGTGTGCTGTGACAGGCTCAGAGTTGCTAAGCCTTCCTGGCCTCCCACTTCAGACTGGACTTAAAAGATCTGGAGGAAACTAGAGCTCTCTCCTGAAGCTGTCCGTAACAATCTAGGGGAGTTTCTCTTAATTACTTAATTCTTGTCCCACAACCCATACCCACTTCCCAGGTGCCTGGGAAGTGAGACACAGGTGAAAAATGGAGGAAAACAGAAATCTGGCAGCTGGGTTGGCACTGTGCATGAACCCAGGAGAAGGGCAAGGCCAGCACAAGGCTGGGCTGCAGGATGACTGTTAGGTTTGGGAGCTGAGCAGAGTTGCCCACTCGGCGGCTTCTAAGTGGAACATGGGGTAAGCAGAGAGATTGAGCGTTGTCTGAGCGTTGTCAGTGGGGCCACTGAGAAGAGGCCATGAGGATTTTGTCAGGAATAGCCTCAGACCTGGGCTAATTCCTTAGAGACTCATCTGGGGTCTCAAGCTTCTCAGTCTATAAAACAGAGCAGCCAACCCTACTTGTTTGGCCACTACCAGTATTCCTGTGAGGATAAAGAGAAAATTGATACAAAAGTGATTCTGAGTGATCCTCGTTTGTAACTAGGCCTCTTAATCATGGCTGCATTCCCAACCAGAGGCAGAGGCTGGTGTAGAGTTAAGTGCTGAATGAGTGTTCAAGAGGGACCTGGAACTGTGGGATATAATTACTGCTTAAGGTCCTCCTGTCATCTGGGTAATGAGGGTAACATATCTGTGGAGTCCGTCAGTAGTGTACATGGTTAGTACACTTGGCTGCTAACTCAAAATTGGAAATCCAAGTCTGCCCAGAAGTATCTTCTGAGGTACATTTTTGAGTATCTTTTGAGCACCTGGAAATCAGTCGACTTCTGAAAAGTCAGCCACTGAAAATCCCTGTGGAATACAGTTCTACTCTGACATCCGTGGGTTCATCTCCTTGCTATATGAAGCACTGCTGTTGCAGACTGGGTACAGGGGCAAACAGGATTTATTAGGTCTCTGGAACTTGGTGTTTGTGGAAGTCAGGGCACTAAAGGAGGTTGTTGTTATGTGCCGTCGAGTCGTTTCCGACTCATAGCGACCCTATGCACAACAGCCCTAAACCCTGCTCTATCCTGCGCCAACCGCACTGCCTCTGACACACCCATCCCGATTACCCCAGTCACTGAATCGATCCATCTCATAGAGGGTCTTCCCCTCCTGCGCCGTCCCTCCACCCTCCCAAGCATGATGTCCCTCTCCAAGGACCCCTCCCTCCTGGCAACATGAGGAGCCACAAAACCGGGCCATGTCAGGAAGGTGCCGGACGTGTGTGTGTGACAGTGAAGGTGGTGTGGGGACAGCAAGTGCAAAGGCCCTGAGGTTTGGGAAAGGGAGGGAGCCAGGTCCCTCACCCCACAGCCTACCTTCAGCACAAGGGTTGAGCAGGAGGTTCCTTCGAAGGCTGCAAAGGAAATAGAAGATCTTCCAGTCGGCCACGGGCTCGTCCCAGTCCTTAGTGATGAAGCCATCCTGTAGGCTCTTGCGCTTCCAGAGGGTCACGGAGTCAATGACGTCACGCCAGAGGGTACAGACCAGGCGGCAGTTCCGAAGCAGTTGCCGGGCAGGCACGTGGGTGAGCAGCTCCAGCAGCGTGTCCTCTGGCAGCTGGTTGATGCTGACCGGAGCCATGGCTGTGGTATGGACACATTCACAGGCCTGTACCTGTAGGGGGCGATAGAGAGAGTACTCAGCCTCAGCTTCCTCTGACAAACGAGGAGATTCTAAGGATGCTTCCAGCACATGGTAGGCCCTCACAATGGTAGGCATTGTGATTGTATATTACAGTTGTAAGGAGACAACCAAAATATTAAAGACTTTAGGGTGAATTTCTTTAAAATAAACCTCACCTTCCAGTCAAGAAAACAAAAATTGCTTAATTTCGGAGCCAGTGGTCCAAGTGAAGACTTTTGCCAAGGCCACTGTAGTCTGTGAATGCTACAACTTCTGTGAAGATTTTTTTTTTTTTTTGTGCATGTACCGTCAAATCAGATCTGACTGGTACCGGAGGAAATTGTCCTTCCTTCTCCGGCAGAGCATCTGGTGGATGAAGATTTCTTTCTGGTGACTGCTGCCCTGCTATTTTAAATGCTATTTTAATCCTATACATTCACTGTTGGAATACAAAATTTTTTATGAATTTATTTTAATGAAAGTTTACAGACTTTGGATATCCATTCATTCACTGTTGCACTTATCTCCCTGCCCACCCCTCCTCCCAATAGTTTTTTTTTAAGTAAACAAAAAAATTTTCATTGTCATTCAAAGCCTTCCCCCATCCCAGAGGTGCACGGTTCGAATCCACCAGATGCTCTGCCGGGGAAGGAGGGGCAATCTCCTCCTGTACCAGTCAGATCTGATTTGACGGTACACGCACACAAAAC